GCAGAGCGCCTGGGAGGTAGGCAGGTCTGTTACGCTCACGAGCGCGGCGGGGTTGCATACCCGAGGTCCGCAGGCGCTATGGCTACACGTGCCGCTGAGTGGGAGGCAGTGGTCGCTCTGGACGACACGGCTACTACTATGGCAATTTAGACAGGAATTACCGAGGTTGTTTTCCAAATGGGGGCAAACAGTCCGCCAAAGAGGGGACAGGCTATGGTAAGCTTTGCAAATAGCCAATAATTATAGTAGGTTATGCAACTCTATAAAAGGCGCAATTACCTTATATTTAATTTCTTTACATCAAAATTTCTGAGAACGAACAAACAAACAAACAACCAACCAAACAAACAAACAAACAAACAAACAACACATAACAAAACTATAATGGAACTAAAAGTGCCCTCGGTTAGATTATCTTCCCTGCCGCGTTTCGTGGGCGTTGTGCTCACACCGAGTCACCGAGTGTCTCTGCTTGTCCTTCCGAGTGCATCGACCTTTCCGGACGGTCCGGCCCGAGCAGCGACCGTACCTTGTGGGTCAGACAAGGGTACCGGCACGACCATCCCCCCTCCCCCTACCCCGCATCGTGCTCGCTCACATGTAATTTCACTAATTCGTCCCTCTTTAGAGACTCCAATTTGTGTCTGCGCTCCATCCTTTTCTGCTGTTTCGGAAATAAAAGAAACATCCGTTTTCTCGCTCGAGTTTTGTTTCTCTCCACCTGCAGACAGTTCGCAATTTCCCTACATTACTTGGGTTACAGGGTGGGGTTTTTAGTTTTAAGCCGCTCACTCAATGCTTTGTGTCGGTAAAATTCTCACTGTACTTCTTCAGTGATAGGTTAGGCATGAACATCACGGTATTTTTGATAGCGAATGTAAGAGGAATGTTGTTATTTGGTACCACTGTAATTTGTTTTTATCAACATTTTTTTGGGCTGATAAACAGCCAAACAAATTACTGTGGTACCAAATAACACTCCTGCTTACATTACCATATTACACCTTTGCATCTTTCTTGTTATACGGTACCGCATGCACACTGGTCTACCGACTCTCTCCTCACAATCAGCCGGTGCCTGACGGCCCCACCCGAGTATGCAACCTACCACACGCCTGCGTCCGGTACATTCAACCAGAAAAAGCACGCGGCCCCTGTATTTTTGACATTCTAACGAAAATTGGACTTGGTCGTAATGGCACGGATATGGAACGGCCTGTGAGTCCACGCCACCTGCCCCGGCCCGGCGCCTGGCCCGTCCGACCAGTCTCGGGCCTTGGCCCTGCCCCTGACTGCTGGAGGCGGAGGCATCCGGCCGCCCGGGCCTGACCTCTGCCGCTGCGGGCGGGATGGCTCTCACAGCAGCATTGTTTGCACGCACCGCCATGCCCTCCTGGACCTTGCTCGCGCTCGCCGGCCACGACTGCTTTGCACAAAGTCACGGCCTCAGGAGGAGCGCCTTATCTGGATCCACGTCTGAATGTGGGGCCCGGGCACGGCAGGGGCAGGAAATTAGTAATTGGGAGCCGTACGAACCCGCTCACCTCTATGTATCTCGACATCGCCCGCATATCGACGCTCGCAGTAAAAGTGACTGCTTATGGTTTACTAGCAGGAGTGTGTAGTTTCCAATCACTTTTTGCTTGGGAACCATCAGCAGTACATGCTTGCCTTGCACTTCGTGACGTCGTCGGATCAGGGTCTCCGTTCAACGCGTGAGACATTTAGCCGTTTCTGGTCTTTGGCGAGGGGGTCGATGGCCGAATTGGGGCGGCGGCGGCCAGCGCGCCTGGTGGGTAGACAGTACTGCCACGCTTGCGTGTCTGGCGGGGTGGTCTATCTGGGATCCACAGGCGCTACCGCCCGAAGACACATCGGGATGGCGATAGCAGGAATCGTAGATTAATTTCCGTGGCCACAGTCACATTTGCGACTCGCAGGCGATATCGAAGCGACCTCGTCTCAGCCAGCGGCAGGGTGTGGAATATAAAATGCGCACGCATATGGGCACTCGCAACACAACGAATGCGCAGCATGAGTATTCACATTTCTCACGCATGCGCGCGCGCACATACAAACACACACACACACGCAAGCGCGGGCGCGCGCGGAGATATTTGTGCACCCCCGCACAAACTCACACTTCTTCGTCTTCGGCACAAAACGCGTGGTTGGATTTCCTGGTTAATCCCCCCCCCCTTTTCCTAGGCACAACTGCGTTGGAACGCCACAAAGAACGTACAGCTTTTTGGTTTCATTGAAGGATCAGGACCATTTCACTTTACCCTTTCCTGTTCGACGCGCAGGTGTCCGGCTCCGGCGGCGGCCTCGGCAGGGAGCTGAGCCTGCAGCTGGTGCGGCAGGGCTGCCGGGTGATCTGCGTGGACCAGGACGTGCTGCAGGTGCAGGAGACCCTGGGGCTGGCGAGGTCCCTTCAGGTAGGCGCTCTGCACATATTTTTCCTCCTCTTCCTGCGTCAGACGGACCTCTGTGACCCTCCCGACCTGGTCCGCTCGCAGACTGACGGCGCACTGGACGGCGCCCAGACGATCCGGGGTTACGCCTGCGACTGGAGGAACCCCGGCGAGGCGTTGGGGCTGTCCAGGGCCGTGACCACCACGGAGGGCGGCGTCGACCTCATCTTCGTGGTCCCGGAGAGCAACAACAACAACGAGAGTGCCGTGGACGGCGCGGGCAAGGTGGTTGGCAACGAGTTCTGGGTGAGTCCGCGGCCAGCGCCATCCTCGCCGACGGCACGGCACATTCTCCGACCTCGGAACCATCCGAGTAGTTCCCGCCAGCAACTAAAAGATAACACTTAACTTTATATTTCCTAGTGCTGAGTGAGTTTTTTTGAGAACATAGTTAACATCCGGTAGAGAAGTAGTTTTGGGTGGGGGAGAAACTTATTTTCTTTGCCAGTTCCACTATCGGCACAGTGTTGACGTATGAGGCCGAGAAAGTTACATGCTCTCCCGCAAGAGTCAGCAAGTGTCATCATAATTTTCTGCACGCACTTCCCCGTCTCGAGCGCTCGCCTCTTTGCGGTACTGGTCTGCGGCCGGGAGTAATGTGCCCAGCCGATTGGTCATACTTTACGCCAGAGTCATATTAGTGCCAATAACGACGCCCTACTATTGCTCTTCGCGGACACTTACACACACCTTTTTTTTCCTGCCTTCATGTTTTCCTCTCGCTGTGTTGCAGCCCCTGCTCGGCTTCCTGCCCGGCATGTTGGCGCGAGCGCGCGGACACGTCGTGCACGTCCTGGACGAGCAGATCGCCCACAAGACTGGTACGCGTGCGAGGGATGGGACAGGTTGGCGCGGCGCGGCGCGGGGCGGGGCAGAGCGGAGCGGGGCGGGGCGGGCCACGTCACCCGCCCCACCCGCACCCAAACGGACTTATCATTTCAAATATGCACGCCCCTTGACGAGCTCTGATCCTCTGATTCTGGTGCCACAGGGCTTGTCGCGGACGCGTGGATCGAGAGCCTGCTCGAGGTGGGTGCCGACGTTCGCTACACCAAGGTGCACCTCCACTCTGACCAGGCGAGGTAAGATACCATTTCCTCTCCTCCCCTTCCAATTTTCATTCTACCTTATATCGAGTTCGGTTTTTCTGGTCACAAGTGACTTTTTGTCGTTTCGTCACGGTCATTTTGATTTGAGGTAAAATGTCAAGATTTTCCAAAATAAGACTCCTTTTAAATTTTATTGCTTGAACTTTGACAAACTTATGATGAAATGTGATTATGGAAGTGACCAAAACCAGACAGCATGTAATTTTCAGTTACTTCTTCTTCCGGAACTTTGCAAATAACTAGTCCAATCCTTCCTATGCAATTGTATGGAAATGTCCGGCAAGGAAGTTGACAGTGTCCCTTCCCCTGCCTGCAGGCACCGCCCCTGCCGCGCCGAGGACGCCGCCTGCTCCATCGTGTCGGCCGTGCGTCGGGGCAGCGCCGAGGTGCACATCGCGTACCCCGTGTGCTAGGACTACGCGGCGCTGGGCGCGCCCGGCCCCCCGGCGGCGCAACGTCCCGGCGCGTTCGATACGCCGCCCCATCTACCCGAATGCCCTCCCGGTTGCGCCACGCGCGCCCCCACGGGGCCGCGCCGGCCGGGCACCAGCAGAGCATCCTCGGCTTACTCCAGAATCGCACGGTGCACCGCGTCCTGGATCGCAACGCCACCGGCGCTTGTAGCTGAAAAGAGACAGATGTGATGAACATTGCTTCCAGGTGATTACATTATGGGGCCGTGCGCGAAACACCCATGTATTAGATAATTATGTCACTACGCGACTAACGCAAAGGTGGGGCAGCACAGATGGCGGAAACGTGAACACTTCCACGCCTTTTTTAGAGTGTCACTACAGTCAACATTTTCGTTCCCTTCTTAGTAAAGTAGGATGTCGAACTTTGTTTTACCAGTACATGCTTACAACACGGACACGTAAACGGCTGGCTACTTTGTTGTCATTCGCGCTCTGTCATTCCCTTGCGCTGCCCATAAGTCTGTCGCTGACAGCCGTCATCCCGTGAACCCCATCTTCAGAGATATGTAGTTTTTTTCTACTTCACAATGCTCAGATCTTTTGTTGTTACGTTTGGTGGTTCCACCAAAAGCACGTAACTCGTCCCTCGGAGGATAATTTCCAAAAGCAAACTGTCAGACAGCTCCTTTCTAAATCCTTACATCACATCAGGTCCAGGAGGGCGATGGGTGGCCTACCGCCACGGCGTAATGGCCTCCGCCCGTCGACCATGGCCTGCGCTCGCCTGCTTCAGTCATGCCGCACGCGTGTTACGATGTTCTTAATGATATTGTGGTTTTCGATCTCTTTGGGAAGCGTTAATATAATGACGGTAAAAAGATAATAAAAATATTTTTGCTACATGTGATAAACTTGATTGATAGTATTGTAATACAAAAATTAAAATAGTGCCTAGTGGGTGCAATTTCACTTACACCTAGCTGTGATCAAACTTCGAGAGAAAAGCAGTCCTTTTGTATTGTGTTTGAGACTGAAAGTAAAAGTACAGGGGAGAGAAAGAAAACGCCCTATTTATCGTATCCTGTGAGGGAGCGTTTGGGATTTCCTGTATACTTTATATACAAAAGGAATTGACACATCATCAGCTTAACTGTTTTTTATAAAAGATGTTTTATATTTA